GATTTTGAGTTTATAAAGGTTGAGATCTTGAAATTCACCAAATGAATGGTCTAGATTCCTTCTTGGAGGGAACTCATTGTAACAATGAATCTATGTCATTCATTTGGTGAATTTCAAGATCTTAGCCATTACAAAGTCCAATTTTTTTTTTTATTTATTTATAATATTGTTCATCTAATGATTGAAAAGGCATCTAAAAAAATGGAAAAGAAAAATCCTTCAAAGGCCTAGGTCTAAGCATCTTATCAAAATTGATGGCCTATATTAATTAAGCTAGAAAAATATTTTCTAGATTCCATTTTAAAATTTTTCTTTTTTGTGATTATTCATTAGAATAAAAAGAGTGTATATTTAAAAAATTGGAGCAAACGAATGACACACACATATACATATGGAAAACACTACAAAATGCCTATAGTTGAAGTTCTATAGTACTTCACCTACACTCATCACCATTCAAAGTTCACACATGGTCACGGTTGTCCGATAGTATTTGAATTTTAATAAATATTTTGAAGATCAAATTTATCTAAAATTTAGGGCGTATATACATATGACCATGTCGTACCAAAATAAAATGTTTTAAAAATAGTAGTAAAAAATAAAATGATAAAAATGCCCCTAAATTTTCATAAGGGTATTTTAGGTCATTTTTATCATCCAAATTATTTGTTTTATATTTTATTCTGGTGCGCTTCCCTAAGCCGCAGACATCTACAAAATTTCAGATCATTATGATTTGTAAAAATATTTAAATTTCAAATATTATCAGATATCTGTAGTCGTGTGATGACTTTTGATGGTGATAAAGTTGTAGGTAAAGTACTGTTGAACTTCACCTATAGGTGTTTTGTAGTGCTTTCCTATATATATATATATGGGCAGTGATTTCATGCCACGGTTTTATAGTAATATAATGAAATAACCTTAAAAAACCATGTTAAGGCCATTTTTTTGAGCCAAAATTTGAAATATACACTCTTTTCATTCTAACGAACAATCACAAAAAAGAAAAAAATTTGAGAACGGAACTTTAAAAATATTTTTTTTAACCCAATTAACATAGGCCATTTGTTTGATCGAAGCATCCATTTTGATGAGATGCTTAGATCTAGGTTTTAGAAGGATTTTTTTCTTTTCCAATTTTTTTAGTTGGCTTTATTATCATTAGATGAACAATGTTAAAAAATACAAAAAAAAAATGATTTTGAGTTTGAGAAGGCTAAGATCATGAAATTCACCGAATGAATGGTCTAGATTCGATCTTGGAGGGCACTCATTTTAACAATGAATCTAGGCCATTCATTTGTTGAATTTCAAGATCTTAGCCATTACAACCTCAAAACTATTTTTTTATTTTTTGACATTGTTCATCTAATTATGGTAAAGCCATCTAAAAAAAATGGAAAAGAAAAAATCCTTCTAAAGCTTAGGTCGAAGCATCTTATCAAAATGGGCGGCCTATATTAATTAGGCTAAAAACTACTTTCTAGGTTCCATTTTCAAATTTTTATTTTTTGTGATTGTTCATTAGAATAAAAATACTGTATATTTCATAAATTGGATCGAACAAATGGCCCACAAACACAAAACACTACAAAACACCTATAGCTGAAGTTCTCTATAGTACGTCACCTACACTCATCACCATTCAAAGTTCACACATGGTCACGGTTGTCCAATAGTACTTGAATTTTAATAAATATTTTAAAATTTAAATTTATTTAAAATTTGGGGCAAAATAAAATATTTAAAAAGTAGTAAAAAAATAAAATGATAAAAATACCCCTAAATTTTCGTAAGGGTATTTTAGGTTATTTTTATCATCCAAATTATTTGTTTTATATTTTATTTTGGTGCGCCTTCCTAAGCCGCAGACATCTACACAATTTCAGATCATTATGATTTGTAAAAAAATTTTAAAAATTGAAATATTATCAGACATCTGTAGCCGTTTCATGAACTTTTGATGGTGATAAAATTGTTGGTGAAATACGGTAGAACTTCACCTATAAGCATTTTGTAGCGTTTTCCTATATATATATATATATATATATATATATGGGCAATGATTTATGCATGGGTTGTATAGTAATATAATGCAACAACCTTAAAAAACCATGTTAAGACCATTTTTTTGATGCAAAATTTGAAATATACAACCTCTTCATCTAATGAACAATCACAAAAAAGAAACAATTTGAATACGGAAACTTAAAAGCATTTTTTTTGCCCAATTAACATAGGCCATTTTTTTTATCTAAGCATCCATTTTGATAAGATGCTTAGATCTAGGCCTTAGAAGGATTTTTTTTCTTTTCTAATTTTTTTTTTTGGCTTTATTAACATTAGATGAGCAATGTTAAAAAAGAAAAAAAAATGATATTGAGTTTGTAAACGCTGAGATCTTGAAATTCACTAATGAATGGTCACGATTCATTTTTGGAGGAGACTCATTTTAACCATATCTAGGGTTCAAATTGAACTTTTGTTTTTGGGAATTGATTATTGAGATGAAAATTGTGTATACAAAATGTTGGGTCATACAAATACCAAAAACATGGTTTTCTAGAAGTGTGGTTTCATCATAATATGATACAACTGGTGCATGATGTCACTGCCCACATATATATATATATATATAGGGGAATGATTTCATGCAACGATTGTATAGTAGTGTAATGCAACCATCTTCAAAAACCATGTTAGAGACATTTGTTTGACACAAATTTTGGAGTGTACAATCTTTTCATTCTAAAGAACAATCATGAAAAGGAAATATTTGAAAAAACGCCGTAGAAAGCATTTTTTTAGTCCAATTAATATAAGCCGTCAATTTTAGTGAGATAGTTAGATATAAGCATCAGAAAGATTTTTTTATTCCCAAAATTTTTATATAGTGTTATCATCATTAGATTAACAATGCTAAAAAATAAAAAGTGATTTTGAATTTGTTAAGGCCTAGATCTTGAAATTCAACAAATAGACAGTCATGATTCATTATTGGAGGGTATTAATTTTGAACATATCTAAGGTGAAAATTGAATTTTGTTTTTTGTAGGATTGATTATGTGGATGAAGAGAATGTGCCAAATTTAGGGTAATACAAATGCCAAAAATAAATGGAGTTGCATTACACTACTATACAAACCTTGCATGAAATTATTATATATATATATATATATGCTTGAAGATTTTGAGGATATGGTGTTGGTGTGTATATTCGACACTTAAGCGTTGGGAACCTGTTGAGAAGTTGAGAAATAGGAGAAGATGCCAGATGGATGAGAGACCGAGAGAGAGAGAGAGAAGGCTAAGGAAAGAGGGAGGTGCGTTTACTACGGTTAGAGAGCGATGGATGGGGAGATGGCAAATGGGTTTTGGAAAGGAGAAAAAGGGCAGAAAGGAGGCAGGTGTGGTTCAGAAATCATCACGGTTCTAATTTGTAAACACTTATAACCCGCCATGACCGTCAAGATTCTGAGTCGACTGCGATTAATAAGTAATAGTATGACATTAAATAAGAACCATAATAATTTAAGAACATCACGGCTATTTAAGTGCTGTAATGCTTCAAAACATAGATACCCCCATGACCATCACGGTTCAGAATCTATCGTGATGTTTTCATAGATTTAAGACTATCGTGAATGCTATTTTCATAAAAAAATACAAACAGTAGAAAAAAGAAGTATGGATGAAGTTTTGAAATATTTAGGATTTATCTCGGATAATCTAAAAGAAAAAGTATGTTTTTAATAATTTTCCTTTTTTTTGTTATATGTTTTTAATAATTTCCCTTTTTTTTGTTATGGATGTGGGAATTTAAATGTTTTTGGAATGGAACTACGACAATTACCTCTTCTTTACTTTCTATTATACTTTTCTTTTTGGAAATTTATTAAGGGATTGTATATTATGAGATCTTATTTTTGATACAAAAAAATCACAATCACTTTGGATGTAAAAACACTCGAGATATTTTATTTTGAGCTTTGTGCCCAAAAAATAACATATCCTCAACCACCCAATTTCAAATCCAACAATCAATGATGATAGTGACCTTCATGAATCAGAAGTACATGGTCTCATTGCCCCATTTTCATGGCCCAAGCCCTAATTTTCACAATAGGGCTGCCCCCCCATTGCCAGCCCTAATATTGAGGATATGCAAATCTCATAAATGGATCTTCAAGGATCCAAATGAGCTATTAAGTCATTCTTTGATTCAAATTTGAAAATTTCCCAAACAAAATACTAAATTCCATAATTTGTTTCGAAACCATCCTTTTACCATCTAATATATTCATGAAATCAGTTGCTTATTGACATCTTCACCACCCAGCGTTGTTAGCCATGTTACCAATCATCACTATATGCCGTGTCTTCCTTCACTTCCTGTTTAAATCCAGATCTTTCCACAGCCAAGGCGCGGTTTACAAGCACTGCCTTCAAATATTAGATAAAACATCAGACAGTGACATCACACCCTAAAAAGCACATCACTAGTCTTGAACAAAGTTGTGAATGTGCGACCAATTATATAATTGGTTTGAAGACTCCCGGAATTCCTATAAAGCAACAGCACAGAAAACATGTGATTGTTTCCATTTGTAACAACTGCTTATACACATATAGAGTCAAAATTTAAATATTAACATCTATTTTATTGAATGAACCCTGCTGAGAACTTGAGAGATGAATTTCATTTCATAGAAAATTGTCCTCATATGTACAAAACAAACAACTTGGGACATGGTTTGAAGATTGAGCAAAATACTAACCATGCCATTGGGACCCCACAAACAGATTTGGACATGACTATGGTGACACAATACTTAAGACTATATCAAACGTATTTTAAATGATTTTGCACAATTATATCTTCCAAGAAACACAAACAACTTGACACACTGAGATGCAATTCGAGCTCCACAAGAAGAAAATTCACTCCCCCAACACTCTTGCAGGTTGATACACGGCACCTGGATGAAGTTCATCAAGAGATTCGATGGTTCGATAGTCATTAAGATCTTTTAAACCAATCCATCCACGACGACTGAGGAAATCATGGAAGTCATCTTCTGTGTACAATGTCTTCTCTTCAGTGTGAACAGTCATCCGATCAGAGTTGTCACAGAGGCAAACTTTAATTGTAACTCCTGAAACAATTGCTCCTTAATATAACATCTCGATCTTAGCAAAATCCTCAGTGAAGTAAAATCGTTGCACTTACCCTGATCAAGATGAAGAACATAGGTTCCCAAAGGCATGTCTCTGTCAAGGCTACGAACTACCCCTTCTTCATCCTCCAACCAAAAGGCTCTTTTCGTTCTCAATCCAAAAGCAGATTTAATGGCTTCCTTGATGGCTTCAGCTGTACCGTCAATACCGATTTTTCTAGTGTAATCGCCAAACTTAACTAAAATCACTCTTCCAACAACATTTGCAGGGTGGTGGTTGTCTCCTGAAAACAAGCAGCCATATCAGTGATGTTGCACGCTAATACAGACATCGACAATTACTAAACTCCTGCTGATTCCAATGTCAGAATAGGAATAGTAAATAGAAGCAAGGTGATGGTCTCCTGGTGCTGACCGCCATATCCAGGCCAAAATTTGTGCAATATAATTTCCTTCTTCACAAAACATAGAAGAACTCTCTTTAAAAACAAAAGAAAAAAAAAGGAAAAAAGAAAAAAAGAAATGAAGAGAAAAGAAATACCATTTTCTGTGACATCTCGCCAATTCCAATGAGGTACACCATTGGCAGCAACAGCATCAGCTGCAGCAATGGAAAGAGGGTGATCGTCATGATCCAGACGGCGTTCCAGGTTAAGTGAAGACCTGCCACTACCTGTATAACCAACTTCAGCTTAATTAGTCAAAAGCATAAAACAAAAACTCCATGAAGACTAATTTCTGGTAAGCCTTTCACAATATCCAAGGATGCAAATTAGTGAAAGTTCAATCTACTGAAATATGAGGGACTCCATACATATAGTAGTGAACAAGAAATGGAACAAAATCTATGAAGCCAAAAGATTTCCCACTCCCGCACGAATATACTACAAATCTACTCGCTTGGGCAAAAATTGTAGGAATACTTTTAGATCCCAAATTTTGGGGATATGATCTGTAGAACCCGGCAACCAAACTCCAAAATTAATAAAAAAAAATTTTAACTCTCACTCTCTATGTGCCTAAAAAAAATGGCATCCCAAGATTGCACTTGAACCATCCAATTTTTGGAGGGAATGATCTTAAGTGTTCAAGAACTCAAAATCCAAACTTTTTTTTCTTTGAAAATAGTCATCTTGTTATAATAAAAAACATGTATAGTATGCTCCCGAGGGAGCATAGTATACACGCTAATCTAAGAATGGAGTTAGTACCTAAATTACTTCAACAAAAACAAGAATCCTAAATTTAAAAAAAAGAACAATTTTTTATTCATAAGACTATCTAAAACAGACAGTTATTCTAAGATAGAGCATGCCAAGAATACTTCAAAAAATGCCAAGAATACTTCAAAAATTGTTATACTGTTGAAAATATGAAGTATGGGTTCATCTGATTCCAATTTTTCATGAATTCTTGATGTCTATTATTTTGGTGAATTAACTGTTTGCGTTCATAATTGGGCAAAGAGGGAGAACTTTTGAAGCTCTCAAAAGTACCTAATTGTTAGGTTATGGTATGGGAGTGGGGTTTGTACAAAATTGCCACCAGCATTCCACCTCAGGAGGCCATTTCATGAATGAATGGTTTGGTTCTGCTGACCCCTTCTTTGGCCAAGGAGTTGGCTTGGGCATTGGATTCTCTCCTGAGTTAAGTTGACATGTTAAGGAGTTGCATATATTGAAAATCTGGTACAAAAATGTGATTCAATATACAGGGTTGGGGGCTAGTTCTGTTGACCTAATTTATAACATTTTGGAGTCTCCTTCAATGAGGAGTGCAGGCCCCAACTTCTATCAAACACTTTGAGCCTCATTAACAAGGAGAGGCTTCGGCAAAGGTAGAATCCATGACTCAAGCCATACCTAAGCAGGTTGAGAGTGCTTCCCTAGGTGGCTCCTGAAAATACCACCTATGGTTGGTGGCCTTGAGTTGTTGAAGGAGCTGCCATCAAAAGTTAATTTTGATGACATTTGGATCTTTTTTTTTTGGTTTTTTGTTTTTTTTTTTTTGGGGGTGGGGGGGGGCAGGGGTGTGCCATTTTGATGATTGCATGCAGGTTTGTGTGGCTGACTGAAGAGTGTGTTCCCACTGATGTGCAAGGAAGGCCAAGGGGAACAAGCAGAATTCTTACCTCGCCTGCACCCAAAATTTACTGGTGGATGTAAGGCACTCTTATTTGGAATTTGTGTGGCTCCTCACCACAACTCTCCTGTTTCTTTCCAGCCAAATAGTCCACAGGTGTGCAAGTATTGTTGCACACCACAGCAATGGGCCCAAGGCACGAAATGGGGGAGAGAAATCGGAAGAGAGAAGTTGGTAGATGGATTCCAAGGTGACCCAATTCCAGGTGATATTCCTAAGGATGAAAGACCCTAGTTGTGTGGTTCTCTCTCAATGGATGAAGAGTGGTTGATGTTTTTCTTTTTGCTATTTGCACATTGGGAATCTATTGGAGAGGAGGATTCATCTTCTCTGAAAGTGGCCTAAGTTAGGGCTTTCTTTGAGACGACCAACTACTTCAATGCTTGCACCTTAGGGGGTGCAAGGGTCAACCAAGTTGTTGAGACAGCAGCATCAAAATGGTTATGCCCTTGAGCACACTGCATAGATGTGGTGCATCGTCAGTAATTATGTGCCCACATAAGTGGGCATACAAATACCCACAAGAGGGGCATTTTGTCTTTTCCCCCTGAAAGAAGGGGGGGGTTGGGGTTGGGGCCTGCGTAGAACCAACTTTTTCATGGTTCCAAGGTGAATTTAATTAAAAATTTTGTGTTTAATCGGAAGATTTGATAAAACTTGGATAAGTGTATCATGACTATTTGGTCTGTGGAGTTTGGATGCTATATTATAAGTATTTGGCATTTTGGGCTTCGACTATATAATACATTATATAGGACAGTGTACAGCACAGTGTACTCAGAAAATTCAACCTCGCTTGGGGTCAGTCTCCAACCATTGAAGGTGATTCTTTCTGAGTGATATCCTGGGCCTCAAGCTCAGCCCCTTGGCCTTGGAGGCTCGACAGCATATTTTGAGGAAATTTGCCATCACAGTAGGACCCCATAAATTATGTGGAGACACATTTGGAGAAGCAAATGGTGACACGAATTCCTTAGTTAAGGCAGCCACTATCTTATCTCCAGCCAATCTAATTAACTCATAGGGAACTGTGTTTGCTTGGTCTGCCTATCTCAGTATGGCTTTGATCTCTTTTATGGTTTCAAATCAGATATGTAAAGCATTTTTTTGGCCTATCTGTGCATTTTGTATGGGGCACCTGTCTGTGGGTAGTCAATTTTTTGGGTGGAACCTGTATGTGGGTATCCAGGCCCCCTTAAAATTCTCCCCTTGTACTTACTTTTAGCTTGATAGAGTTAACATATTAAAGAAAAAATTTTATAAAAATTTTATAAAAATTAATAAACTAATGTAACTTAATTGTCCCAAAAAAATTAAAAAACCTCCCCCTAAATTAGCTAATTAAATTTAATATATCAATCAATTTCAAGATGAAATAAAATGACTTAATTGAATTAAATTTAGAAATCTAACCTTTTATAACTTGATTATAACATCTGAAAATTTTACCTTAACCCATCAAGCTTCAAATGCCTCTGTCTCTCTAAGACAGAAAGAAACCAGGAACCCTGGCAGACCTCTAACCAGTAAGAGGCTTCCCTGCTCGCCAAGTGCATCCTGCAGCTCAGTGACTACAAGTTGGAAGCCCTCAGGACATCAAAAGAGGTGACTCAAGTGCTAAGGTGAACTCTCTCGATCTCCCCTTTCTTTCTACTAAGTGTCCTGTTTATTCCAAGGTGACTCAAGTGATAAGGTGCATCCTGCAGCTCCATGACTACAAGTTGGAAGCCCTTAACCATAGCGAATCCCTCTCTCCTAATATCATTTTTCTCCATTTTTATTTTATTTTATTTTTTGTAAACCCTAGATGTTATTGGGTGCCGCCATTACAAAGTTTCTTTATTACATTGGTTTCCATATGTATATGATACTGGTGTTACTGTTAATGACCATGAATATCTAGTTTATAGATTAAATTTGTTTCCATATGTATATGATACTGGTGTTGCTATTAGTAACTATGATTCTCTGGTTTTATCATGACTGGATACATCCACTACTAGCAATTGCTTGACGCATTAACATCTCGACAAATTAGACTACAAATTCATGTATAGGGATTCTTTTATCTAAGGAAAATATTTTATCTGCTCTATTGAAAACTCTCTTAACATATCAAATTTGGAATTCTTTTGCATGATCAAAGTACTAGTGTGGAGAAATCATTCGCTGTCCTCCAAACAAAAAGCCACTTTGTCGATTTGAGATGAATTTAATAAGATTAAAAATGAAGATGGTAGCATGACAGCAAGTTGTAGGCATTGTACTAAGCAATTAAGGATCTAGTGTAGAAGGGACGAGTCATTTGAAGAAACATTTAGAAAGATGTGTTGAGGATAAAAAAAATGCAAGACGAATGGAGGAAAAGCATTGTGGTACCTATTTACAAGAGAACAAAGGAGACATAAAGAATTGTGTGAACTATCGAGGGATCAAAATTATGAGCCACACTATAAAGCTATAACAGAGAGTGATTGAGCAACGATTAAAGCATGAAATGAGTGTATCAAAAAACCAATTTGGTTTTATGTCAAGGAGGCCAATAATTGAGGCTATTTTCTTCCTTAGGCAACTTATTGAGAAGTTTAAGGCGAAAGGAAAGACCTCCACATGGTCTTTATTGATCTAGAGAAAGCATATAATAGAATGCCTCAAGAATCAATTGGGTGGGTGTTGGAAAAGAAAGGAGTCTCAAGATAGGTAGATACTATATCGACTTGGTGAGAGATATGTATGAGGGAGCACTAACTAGTGTATGGATAACTAGTAGAGAGACAAATGAATTTTCAATGGCAATAGGTATAAATTAGGGATCAGCAATGAGCCCATACCTCTGTCTTCGTTATGGTCAACTTAACTAGGCACCAACAAGATGAGGTACAGTGGTGTGGTGTATGTTGTTTGCAGACAACATAATTTTGATCGATAAGACAAAGCGGCCCCAACACAAAGTTAGAACTTTGGCAAGATGCTCTAGAATCTAAAGGTTTTAAAATTAGCCGAACTAAGATAGAGTATATGGAATTTAAGTTTAGTAATAATAGGAGCAAAGATGAGGAAATAGTTAAGACTGACGGCCAAAAAGTACCAAAAATTGTGCACTTTCATTATCTGGGGTCGATAATCTAGGAAAATACAGAGATTGAGGAAGATATCACACATAGAATTAGAGCTAGGTGGGGGGAAGTAGAGATGTGCAACCAAGTTTTATGTGATCGCCGCATACCAATGAGGCTGGAGGGGAAGTTCTATAGGATAGTTGCGTGACCAACTTTGTTTTATGGGGCGGAATGTTGGGCGGTCAAGAAACAACATACCCATAAGATGAGTGTAGCTGAAATGAGGATATTGAGATGGATAAGGCAAGACAAGAAAGGATTGAATTTAAAATAAATACAATAGGGAGAACTTAAGTGTAGCTCCAATAGGTGATAAGATGAGAGAGTAAACTTAGGTAGGCCGGCCATGTGCAACGTAGACCCAGTACAATGCCTGTTACGAGATGTGAGTTGATTCAAGTGGAAGGCTCAA